CAATAGTAAGGATCAGGAAAGAAAAGGCAGCAGTTCCCTGTTGTAGATCAGGAACAGTTATGAGCGTGACATGAGTCAGCCCATTTACAATTCTACTATGCTTGAACGAGATATGTCCCCCTTTTGGGAACGGCCTAAAGACACTTCAGTCGGTGGCACTCCCCCAGGGGGTCGATCAAGTTTGAGAAAAGAGACGAACACAGACACGAAAACGGTCATTTAGTGTAGGTAAAAAGGTCCGAAAAGGAACTTAGATTCGGACCTAGACTAAAGCCAAAGGTAAAAGTAATTAATGGAGAGCTGTATTTCTCGGTGACCTTTACTCCGGCACGGGATGAAAGAGGCTGAAGATAATGAGTGCAGGTAAAAAGAAAGATAGACATAAAAACAGGGAAAGAAAAGAGACAGGACCTACCAGTGGTGCTCCTCAACCATTCGTTAAGATCCCCGGAATAACCAAAATGGCGCTGCATAGGTATAGTCTATGGCGGGTTGGCACTAAAACGGGAAACTTTTCGTCATTTAGTTTTAGAATGAGTTTTACGGCACTTGCAACATAATTAGTTCATACAGGTGCTCACGATGAGAAGTGTTTTAAGAGAGTAAAATACAAATAAAAAAGGAGCACAGATAGTGAAGATAGGTGTGTGATACAAAAGAAGAAGCAAACAACACCAGAGTAACCGCCAACCATCAACATTTTCACCAGTGTGTGTGTGTGTGAGAGAGAGAGAGAGAGAGAGAGAGAGAGAGAGAGAGAGAGAGAGAGAATGTTATGGCGGATAACACATTCATTCAACAAAGCATACAAAGTTTTTCCGAAAACGAAGATCAATAAGTAAGTCTTTTTAAACAAAAACATAATAATCCGAAGATACTGAAGTGTACAAAATACACAGAGGCGTTTCACGAACACTAAGCTACGATCTCTAAACCATTATGTCCATTGACAAAGCTAATCAATGATTCATTAGATAGGAATAAGCTTATTTTATTTAGGAACGTAGGGCTGACTGACACTGAATAACCAACACCGGGTCACTTTCTACGCGGTTCGCTTCGTTAAGCAACAGATGAGTGCTAATTATATCATAATGACACTCACCCCGGGTCTACAGCATTAACATGTGCATAATAATATGTTAGCTGGTTGGATCGTGTTTTAAAAAAAGAAACCTTTGAAAAGAATAACAATACAAATAATTATATCAACCACTAAAGCCACCCACTTTGCCTTGACTATAAAATGCACCCCCC